TATAGCAATTAAAAATTAAGTTACCGCAATGGGTATATATAGCAATTAAAAATTAAGTTACCATAATGGGTATATATAGCAATTAAAAATCAAGTTACCGCAATGGGTATATACAGCAATTAAAATTAAGTTACCACAATGGGTATATACAGCAATTAAAAATTAAGTTACCACAATGGGTATATATAGCAATTAAAAATTAAGTTACCATAATGGGTATATATAGCAATTAATATTGTTTCCCCAATACAATGGCTTAAATTAGGTTTTTAAGCAACCCAGCCATTGTTGAGAACCCCCCCCCCTGTCAGAACACTGCTTGAGAAGTACCAGCAGCATAGACGCGGACGCAAGTTCCAAATCCAATCCAGAGAAAGATGCTTGAGAAGATGGTAAGATCCTGGGCTGCTGTTAAGGAACTTAGCTTAAGTTACTTTACTGGGAAAACCATATCAATTTCTATATATATACTTATTATGGTAACTTAGCTTAAGTTCCTAAACCCTAAACCCTATATACCCCTATATACCCCTATATACCCCTATTATATAGTTCCTTAACAGCAACCCAGGATCTCCCAGGACGATCAAGGACCTTGCCGAGCCCTCTGTCACAGAGTCCCAATGCACGTTGAAGAGGCATTGTCGGAAGAATTCCTCGGTTGCTGTTAAGGAACTTAAATGAAATTACCATACTGGATATAGATGTGTATATATATATACATAGAGCAATTACGGAGTTTGATTTCCCCAATATAGTAACTTAAAGTAAGCTCGCTAACAGAAACCCAGATTCTGCTGTGCTGTTGGTCTGCACAAACCGCTCCCCTGTGCCCAAGTTGCAAAGGGGCAGCCACTCAGAGTCGTAAATCATTTGCCCAAGGGCAACATCTGTAACATTGGTGCGAGTTGCAAAAGCGCCTCCATTCATATAACTACCAAAGGCCCGGTTGATCAAAAGAACGTTCCCCAGGGCAAGCATTGTCCCAATCACGCCCTCCAGGGAGAAACGTACAGATGCTCCAAGTGAAGGCCCCAGCAGGAAGCAGAAATTTTGCATTGCCATGTTATAGCTAGCCATGTACTTGCTGCTCCTGACACACTGCTTAAACATCCCAGGTGGGCTTAAGGGACACACTTCTAAGGGTAGTTTGCCTAAAGTAGGGGACCTGTATATCCACTCCAAAATGGTATTTTCCTTAATTTTGGGAACCACCCAAAAAATGCAAAATTGTGGGAAACCCCCAGATCTTGAGTCATCTTTTTGGGCCCCTTCCCCGCAGAGCTGTGCCGACCCTGTTCCAACCGCACATCTAACGAATCTAGCCCTAGAACCCTAAGACATCATCGAAGCCACAGCAACTCGGGAGTTACCAAAAACTATTGGCCCCCTTAACCCCTGAACCCTAAACCTTGGGTACTGTCCCCCCCAGTAAGAGTCTATATTGGGGGTCCTATTAAGGGCTAGATGTAACCAAATTAGAACTATTATCCAACTGTTACTGAGGGGGATCAGTACCCAACCTAAACCCTAGGAAACTACCAGGAACTACCAGTTCAGGTTTCTGGGCTTCACATCTCGCTCCTGTTGCCCCAACTATTGAAGAATTCAGCGATCGGATACACGATGACGGGCCCCCCGACCACCAGCATCCAGAAAGACAGCCGGAATGCCAACCAACCTTAATAGTGAGGTTGCTAGTAGACAATGAAGGAATAGGGTGGGGAGAGTATTGTTAAGGATGGAATAGGAGACTACATGGATCCATTCCTCCATTCCCCACCAATCACCAGTAAGCGACGGTTCGAAGAATACCGTCGCTGTGCTCGTAAAGCCGTCTTCCTGAACTTCTGGTGCAAGTTCAAGCTTTCCAAGACCTGAGGTTGCGAAGGTAAGGTGCTGTTGCGAATCAGGGCTCTACAAGCGGGGATGCTGTTTCAAAATGACTCACCCCCCTTCAAGTCCCATACACTTCTCCTGGGGTCCCCCATCAAAAGCTTCCCCTGGAAAGAATCAGTCACGCGCCAATGCTTTTTGACAAAGCCCACCTGCAAAAGGGCATTGGCAAATTGTGGATCTGTGGCCACATGTCCACAAATCGGATCATGGTCATGGTCGTCCTCGATACTGTCGGTGTCTATGAAATCAGGGGCTTTGTGGAAGCCCTGCTCGATGTCCTCACCCTGGTTTGTAAGTTCTTGCGCTGTCTCTTCATCTTTGGTGAGACCTTAGGTGTGCACAGAGAGACTTACGTGTCATGGGCCCAATGGACAGGCAAGGGACTCATTTTGGGGGCCCTGAACCCCAAACCCTAAACCCTACATACCTTAAACCCCCTAAGCCCACTGGACAGGTAAGAGACTTATTATGGGGGCAGAAGGTTCCATGAAGGCTTCCCGCGCAGCAGGAAAACTCTGAGGTGTGACGTGGTCTGGGATGCAAGGTAGGGCCTGCACCGCATCCTTGCTATCCTTGGCTTTTAAGGGTTTAGGGTTTAAGGGTTTTTGGGTTTAGGGATTAATAATTCTGTAGGGTCTACGGGATCCTTGGTTTTTAAAGGTTTAGGATTGTGGGTTTTGGGCTTAGGGTTTATTACTTCTGTAGGGTCTACGGGTAATGGGGTTAGTGGAAAGGAAAATGGGAACTACTATGTAGTGTATTGGGGTTATGAAGTTATGAATAGAGATAATGGAAAAGAAAATGGAAACTACGTCACTTGCATGGCCAGCATAGTGGCGCAAGGTTCCATTCCGCTCAGCAAATCAAACACTCTGCTTTACCACTTGCATGGCCATGACGGCATCGCAAGGCGCTCTGTTTAGGGTTTAGGGTCCTGGGTTGTACTTTGGGTCCTGCCCCCACCCACTAAGTCAAGGCAGAAAAAATCACGTATGAATGGGTCTCCATCTAGCACTCTTGTAGATAAATCAAAACAAGGAAACAGATTCATCCTGTCCCCCCCCCCCCCAAAAACAACTAGGGGGTGCACTTCTGAAATTCATCACACAGTGCCACCCGAGCTTCCCTCTCACCTCGCTTCACGACCTTCAACTTGACACTGCATCCTGCCAGATTTGGTGGGTCATGCCCATTGTGCTTGCGCACGGATATAATTGTTCCTTCCTCGGTTGCAGGTATGAGTTTGTTTTGTTGTCACGAGTTCTATAATTTAATCTCTTACAAAGCAACAAGGAAACATCGACCTTCTAAACCCTAAACCCTAAACCCTATACTACAGGGGTTTCCCATTTTCTTTTCCATTATCCCAATATAACCGCAATGTACATACCACCCAGCTTCTAAAGTTATTGGAGTCTTCGGGCTCTCGAGGTCCATTCTGATCTCCACTGCAGCTGCCCTCCTTTCAGGCAGCTAGCCTGCTGGGGAAGGCCTGCCCCAACCTTTCCCGTAGGCTCTTGGCATTGAATTATTGAGCCCGCCTGCGGCAGAATTTGCAGATGCAGAATGCTGACAGGATCAAACCCGGTACTCTTTACCAACCTACAACAAAATTTTGGTATCCTGCGCATAGGCAGCCCTCGAAGTGTGAGTTCAGGATGTTCCACATGCCCAGTTCAAGTGTAGGTGCTGCAAACATTGTCACTAGCCGACTACTCCTGGCGCTGCACCCACAAACGCACTTTGGCTGCGACTGCATCGTCACCGTGCCGTTGAGTGAAACACGTCTGTCTGTAATATGAGGCATCCTCCAGAGTGTAGCTCATGTGCTGGCAAGTGACCGCCTGGCTTACAGAGGATGTGTAGACTTACCTGATTAACCCGCAACATGTTGAGCCACGCTCACATGCCGACATAATGGTACGACACGTTCGACAAGTTGACCTGCCCAGGGAAATCTCGAATGAACGTGGAGGGCTGTCATGGGCTGCAGGCTTGCCATGAGGCATAAGCGTCCTACTGGCTCCGCATTTCCTGATGCCAGCATTGTGAACATCGTCAAGCACGCGGCATACCCGGATGCACATGCCTGCAATCTAGGGTGCCGGATTACCTCCCAATCTCCTAGACAACCATACATCGACATCAACGTTCTGAAAGGCAGCCACTTCTCGTGAGCTAGGCGACGGCCCATTGCATTTCTGCAGGAGCACATCCGCATGGACAAAAACAAAATCTAACTCCATACCTCCGCTATTCAATGGGTAGGTGTACGGAAAGGAATCCCGTCCCCGTAACAATAAACAGTAGTCTCCATTTTCGTTTCCACTATCCCCTTTATACCCCTGTATGATATAAGCCCAGTTTCCATTTCATTTCCATGTTCTTTTCCATTTTGATTCTCCAGTATAGGGGCAAAAGGTAAGTCCCCAATGATGAATACTTCGATGGCGGTGCCGAGGCCAACCAGGAGGAATCTTACAAGGAATGAAGGAGATCGGGATCTAGAAAATTCAGTTAAGTCCATTTTGGCTCAGAAGGACTTATTTGTTTTTGAGGCTACCCCGCGGCGGTGGGAGATACAAAGCCACGAAGCCACCCTTTCAATACAATTTTATGGGCATGTCGAATTTTGTTGGGGGGTCTTTCATTCTGAGGGGATGGCGGGAAGCGATTCACAGCTCTGCATTGTGGACTTTACATTCACCTTGGGAGTTGACTTTTGATATTCTTTCCAGCTCCCATCTTGGGCACTCGTCTTTGCGCAAGGCAAATCTCATCACTTAAAAACCTAGAAAAGATGGTCAGACTCAACCAAACACTTTGCTGGCATTCCAGGAACTTCTTGCAAATGTCACTGTGCAATGCAACCCAACGATCGCACATGCCGAGGGCCGGACACGCAGAAAACTCAAAATCAACGCCAAGAGTATCACAACACCTGCACAAAAGCCATGAAAAAGAGCAGAATGACTCTGTGCCCCGAAACAGTCGGCCTGATGGATACAATATCACCTCGGTCCTTTCCAAAAAAGGTAACACGCTGTACCTGAGAGCTGCGGGTGGACGAATTCCACTAGAGCTGCATCTGCATGGTCAGACTGGGCGCCCGACCCTAAGGACATGATGTACAAGTAATAACACAACGCCGCAGCATAGAGCAAGTTGCCTGGGGAGCAGGGAAGAATGAGCACCTGTGCTGAATCACAATATGATTAGGTCTGGAAAGCGTATTGTGCAATGCGCGGGGACACGGGTGATATCGTCACGGGTCAAATCATGCCTGAATGTACGCGCAGAATTTATTGAAGGACCCGGTAAGTCAGTGGCTTAGCATGGCTGCGGCAAAGCTGGGCTGCATCACGAAAGGCAGCATGAAGTAATGCAAGACCTGACAAGCGACTACATCTGATCGTGTCAACGTGATCATATTGACAAGCATGGCAACAACCTTGATGCCACTAATGTCATGCGAGTCCGTCTCAGGTGCTTGCATAAAGCACCAAGAACAGCGGAAAGAACGAATTGCAATGGATGTCAAAGGCGTACATCCACTCCTGCAGAGCTTTGACATCCGCAAGCCCGATCACCAATGCCTCCAGTCCCGCCATCTTCTGCTCCACCCCATGGAACGACTGGGCCCGCATGTAATTGTTCGCGACAAACCATGAAACCTCAGCTCGCACAAAGTTTTCTTGAGACGTGGCAACTGACACCGTCGTGCTGTTACAAAATTGTAAGCGTGCAGCGCTGGAAATCAGCACTCCGAGGATGACGAAATGACCAAAAACGAAGTGCAACACGATGTGCAAGAAAGCCGTGCCTTCATCCGCCATTATCTACAAAATATGCTGCCGGCACACCAGCTACGTCGGCCTTTCGCTTGGAAAGCTATGCCGTATGCAATTGCTGCGACGGTGAGAAAGAACATCAGTACCTCCAGCACAGCCCTAAATGCCACCGCACAATGAAGCAAACCCGAAGATGACAACGATTCAAGTGAGCGCGTCGCCACGACGAAAGCAGGGTCATCCCTTGCCTGCGAGATATACCATGGGCCAAAAGTTGCGTACATCGGTGCGCTGAGGGCCGTTCCCACTGATTCTTCGTCTGTTTCCTATATGATGTGAGCTGGTACACTTTCCTGGCTAAATTCACACATCTCCATGACGTCTCACTGCAAGATTCAAACAGGACTACTTGTTGGTCCTCGGCGCAATGCACAAGTAAAGCATCTGCGCAAAGGTGTAGTCTATGTCCATCTGTGCCTGTGCCAAGCAAATTTGCACAATCCACGATTGCGCCCCAGCTTCCTGCAGCAGAGCAGACGAGTTAAACATTACATAATATTTACATGAAAAGCACTGCTGCTGATGTGAGATCAAGCAAAACTCAGGACACATGCGCAAAACGGACGGCCCTTGAGCAATAAATCAATTTTGTCTACGTGACGCTGTCGTAAATTTTTCATGGGTCAAACTGTGTCTCCCAAGACTGTGTGGCGATCCTGCGGTGTCCAACATTATTAACCCCAAAGACCTGAAGGCCTGAAGGGTTTACCCGTCTCACAATGCTTGAAAAGACCGACCACAGCGATGCCCAAAACTCTTCAGGGATCGCACCGTGACACCACAGTCGCTGAGACTCCCAGAACAGAACGTTTCAGGGATCACACCGCGGTGCCCAAAAATTTTCAAGATCACACGGTGACTCCAAGAACTTCGTGCCGCCCCAGCCAAACTCCCCA